GGGAGGAGGAGGGTGGGGGGGGGAGAGACGGAGGGAGGAGTGTGCAGGGGGAGAGGCCTGCGCTGAGTGTGTGCGAGCCTGGGAGTCTGGGCGGGGGAACGGGGACTCGCTCCGGGAGGGGGGGGGCTTCAGAAAGACAATGCGGAGTAGGAGAGGAGGGGAAGGGGGTGGCGACCGCGTCAGGAATCCGAGCCGAGGAAGGCGGAAGGAAAGCCCACTTGGGGGGCGGGGATGAGGTGAGGCCCAGAAAAAGTGCACTTTAGAAATATTAGAAATAAGTCTTAAGGAAGGGGGAAAGGAAGAGAGTATTGTGGGGAAGGGGTGCGGGCTGGTGTTTAGTGGTTAAGCCAGCAATGAAATCAGCCACCCTTGGGCGGGATATAAGAGAAGTGGTCAAAAAAGAGAGATCAACCCTCCACTTTCAGAGAGCTTGGGGAAGTGGAGGGCTGGGCAAAGTTCCTGGTTATCTGCAATGAAAGAAACTATTAACCCACGAGGTCTTCCCTCCCCTTTCTTTATTAATAGTGAATCATTTCATTAAATTTAAATCTCACTAGAATAAATATGCCAAGATGACTTTTTATCCAAAAAACAATCAAATACTGTAGTGTTTGTCAAGGGCATTAAAAATATCCTTAAGGAAAAATACATGATTCTTTTCAATGTAGAGTGTTGTTCTTTATTTATTTTTTTTTTTTAAACTGACTTTGGAGGTGGTAGGAAATAAGCTAGGATTCAAAGTCCTTTCTGACTTTGGAGGTGAAAAGTTTGGGCGTTAACACCACCAGGGAAAATAAAACTGAAAGTTCACCAACCCTTGGGATCAGTGGGTCTGCAGTCTTTCTGGAAGGGGGTCTGAAATGAAATCCCCAAAAGACTGACCAAATAATCAAGATGTAGATGGCTCTGGCAGGAAATTGCTAACCCAGCTGATGCTGGAAGACCTCTGGGAGGAGATGGAAAACCTGAGGTTTGAGGCAGGTATTTGTTGATTTTTAGGCTCTCTCCTGGAGAGCAGATTGATTTGCTACAAAATGGGGAAGAAAATTATGTCGAAGGGGGAAAGGCCTGGGTCCCAAAACACCGTGTCCCTAGAAAATGGGGCAAGAACACTCATTTTCTTGCAAATATCCAACGAGAAGTGGACTTGGCATCTACAACATGAAAGGGGACAAAAAGAACCAGAAAAAAAGAAGTCAATAAGAATTAGCAAATTATCTTTTAGGAAGTGTTGGCCTGGAGTTCATGATGAGCTAAATTATTTCACCCATCCCTTAACAAGCATCTCACCTGCTCTTCAGCTGGCCCATCAGCACCTAAGCTTTCCAAAAGAAAGCAAATTTAAATGTAATATTTAGAGAGTTTGGGTTTTCAGCAAAACTGTTTTATAGGCTAAGGTCTCAGAAAGAAGACTACTAAAAATGATGATACCAAGATTGACAAGGCCAATGCATTCCCTTGCACTGGAAAGAAATTCATAACGGCATTTGCACAGTAAAGAGTAAGATGTGGGCAAAATAAAAATGTGGTGGGGGCATGAGGGAGGGCTATGGAGGAGAATCACCGAAACTCCCAGCTTTAATGTGAATCAGAAAATCAGAAGTAGAGTGAGAAGGAGCCTGAAAAGAAGTAAAACAAATGTGTACCTTTAATCAGCCAGGATTGCATAGGATACAAAGCACAGGGCTAATTAGTCTCAGCAGGTAGGACTAACCTTCAGACTTCATAAATAAATAAGGCGGGCACAGTTTCTAAGAGGGTGAGTGGAGACAGAAAGGGGATTATTTCAAGACACCAAGTAAAAACATGAAGAATGAAATGCTTCACTGTTAAATCTATGTACAAATGGATTTAACAGTGTCCTTTTTTTAGGTCTTTTCACTTGATTGCCTTTAGATTTACACATTTAGCAAATGACCATAGCTTTTCACACTTGCTAATTGTCACCTGTATACTTAGGTGCCTGAGTCTGTGTACAGCGTAGACTTTCGTAAGGCCTGTTTTAAAGGCTTATTTACTTAAACGGGAACACATTTATAGAAACCCAATTTTGTGGCAATTTCTTTGTCCTGTGCAGTGGTTCTTTTATTTTAGTCTAAAGCTGATCTGAATTAAATTGGATACTGAGGTCTTCTATGTCCTTTATAGGACTTACCTGGAAAATGAAAGCTCATAAATATACTGAATTGAAATTTTAAAGAATGTACTTATTGTTTTTAATGTCCTGGCCTGCGTTTTTATCATATGTAAATATTAAGGGCTTTCTGCCGATGATTAGTGACCTCATCCATTTTGGCATATCCTTATATTTCTCATTCAAAGGAAACTCTTGAATCCTTCCTTCTTTTTTTCTATATTTGTGTGTGTGTGTGTGTGTGTGTGGTACACGGGCCTCTCACTGTTGTGGCCTCTCCCGTTGCGGAGCACAGGCTCTGAACGCGCAGACCCAGCGGCCATGGCTCACAGGCCCAGCCGCTCGGCGGCATGTGGGATCTTCCCGGACCGGGGCACGAACCCGTGTCCCCTGCATCGGCAGGCGGACTCTCAACCACCGAACCACCAGGGAAGCCCGAATCCTTCCTTCTTTAAATCTCTGATTTAATTAAGCAGTTAAAAGTTATTCCATGATAGCCCATGTGCCACATTTAATCCTGTTGCTTTGTGCCATAAACAGGCTTGGGGAGACCAGCAAGATCTCAGAGGGTCAATTACCCCTGAGTCTCTGAAAGGGCTTCAGGTGATGCGGGGATAGGGGAGAAGTGAGGGGAGGGTGTGAAATTGAAATTGGCAAAAAGCAAGGTAATACAATGTTTTTTTTAAAAAGGTCACGTTGGCCCACAACCTGGACGTGTAATTTGTAGATTGCTGTGAAACGGTTGGCTTGTGTCCCGGTGTTGAGGCTACTTCTCGTTCTAGATACTGATGACTGACTCCTCGTTTATAGGACCAAGAGTTCTACCCAAAGAGCAGGGGTTCACAGGAGGAAACACATGGAGGAAACCAGACCAGTTCTGACTTTAGCCTGAGCCAAGGAGTTTTGCGTACTGGGGGCCTCTCATGTTGCAGGAGAAGCTGGGACCTTTTCTCTTGGAGGCCTTTCCCGGGGCCGGCCCAGGTCCTGAGCTGTAAGTAGACTGTCCCTCAACCCTCCTTGCTGTCTCCTTCTCATCATCCACTGCCCTTCTGCTGCTTCACTTCTCTGTTTTCTCCTCCCCTTCAACCATCCCTCTATTTTTTTTTTTTTTTTTTTTTTTTTTTCGGTAGGGGGCCCTCTCTCTGTT